CAGTACGAAAGATTTCTTGAATTTGGTTTATTGTTCGGAGCCATTTAGCAAATACTTTTAGGAAAGATGGAGGTATTAAGTATGAACTACTTTACACTCTGTTTCTGGACTATGTTTTCAACCTAGTAGTTAATGAGTTTATAATGAGCAAGTCATCTGCAGTAAATGAGGATCCTTATTGTTCCTACTGTAACGCTGATTTCACATGTGATCTCAATATAGTTCCCTAATGCCTGGTGGGCATTGTGGCTGTCAGATGTGAAGAAATAAGTCTCCAGCCTTATTGGTTGGGCAGGCTTACCATGATGAGCAGGTAAAGGTTAATGCGGCTTCTCAAGGAGATTGTTATCTCTCTTCTTTTTTTTTTCTCTCTCTCTCTATATATATATATATATATATATATATAGCGCAGATATACAAACAGTACATAACCGGGTATACAGTATATCTGTGGCATTACAATTTTATCTGAAAGGGGTTGAAAGGGAAAAAATGTTTAAAAAGGTTGGAGGGGGCAATAATTATAAACAGGTTTGCAAAACGCTGGTTTAACCATACAGAAAAAGGAGCTTCTAGAACGGACAACAAGCCAGTGAAACCCAATTTTTTTCTTTTCCCACAGAACTGAAGGAGGAATCACAAAAGGGGCCACCGTTGGGGTCCTCCTCGACTTAAATAGGAAAACCTTGACATTTTTTGTCAACGATGAACAGCAAGGCCCCATAGCATTTGAGAATGTGGAGGGCATGTTCTTCCCCGCAGTCAGCCTGAACAGGAATGTGCAGGTAAGCGCCGCGCCCCTGCGTGTGAAATGGCTTCCGCTGACCAAGGCTTCAAAGGCAGCCCACAGGCATTAAATCAAGCTGACAGTGTAAGGCCCAGACCAAGACAAGGAGGAAGGGAGGAGGGAAAGGGATCCACGTTGACAACTGGTACAGTTCCACACCAGCAGAAGCTACTCTTTCTTTGGACACAGTCTAGTTAAGAGCATGTGAGAAACTGGGATTCTGTTCATGGTTTGCGGATGGCCATCCCTCTAGCTCTGGTTTCATCTCTAAGTTGAAAGGAAAGCCTTTAGTCAACTTCCCTGAAAACAAATGAAATGGCTTACACAAAGCTCCAGGAGTGCCTGAGAGGAAGTGAAGGTGTAAGATAGAAATGATAGTATTGTATCGTTATCAGAAAATTTGAGCATCTTCTCTGCACTCTTGTTCAGCTCTGTTAGATGCTAAACAGTAGAAAACATAGTCCCTACAAGTTAGTTACCTGTAATTTATTGTGGATATAAAATGACAGGTTCTTCTCATTCACTCATTCGTTCATTCAGCAAATATCTATTGAATGCCTTTAGCATGCCAGGCACTGTTGTAAGTATTTGGGATGTATCAGTGAAAAAACAAAAAAAAAACTCAGATAATCTTACCATCATAGAGATTACATCCTAGTTATAGGAGACAGACAATAAATATTAAGCACAATTACTACATTAATTATATGGTATGTTAGAAGGTGGTTAGTACATGGAGAAAAGACCAAGGGTAGGGCAACGGGACCAGGAGCACTGGGGATGGGGAGGGCAGTTGCAGTCTTAAATAGGATGGGCAGTGTACACAAGCCTTGTTGCAGCCATGGGTGAACTGAGCCTTAAAGGAGGGGGGGAAGGGGGCTGTGAAGAACTTTCCAGGCAGAGAGCCTTGCATGGGCAAGGAAGGGCAAAGAAGCCAGGAGGTTGGGGTGGGGGGTGGGTATCAGAGCCCTGCCAGCCACTGTTAGGACTTAGACTTCATTTCCCTCCTGTGCTGGGCCTCTCATTAACTACTGGGAGCCTCATTCAATAGGTGGTTGCCTTGAGATAGAGCTCAAGAATCAAAACACTGCAGATGATTTCTGCCCTATCCAGAACCACAGTCTTGGAAGCTATTAAAAACATATATATTGTTATCTATCAATATGCACAATGACAGTGATTGCAACCCAATGACACCTGCTCTTCACTCTTCCTGCAAGTAGATGAGGTTTTCTAAGAGGCTAGAATCTAATCTTTCAGACTTCAGACTCTACATTAGAGTAAAAAATAATAATAATAATTGCCATAGAAACGAATCTCAGAAAAATTGCATTCAACATTTTCCACAATTTAGCCATTTCCCTTTCAAAGAATATTGTACTAGATGCTCTTCTGGGATTTTCAGGACACTCTGAGAATATGTGGATAAAGACTAGGGATGGGGCAGACAGGGACAAGGCAGGGGAAATTACAGCGTTACATGAAATAGTTCTAGTCTTGTCCACGCAGCTGTCCATGGAGGTTTGAGGTTGAACTGATATTGGTGAAATAGTGTGAGTGCTGTGTTCCTTCACAGCTAGCAATCATCTGTGCAACCCCAGAAAGAAAGGCTTGCCCCAGTTGGAATAACTAGGAGATAAGTAATAAGTGGAGGGTTGTCTCTGCTAATCTGTCCTCTGTCCGTGGGTTTGACAGTGGTCATGGCGGTGTGGCCAGCAGGTGTCACTACCTGCAAATAAATGCCTGTGTCTTCAGTCCTAAGGAACACAATCTCCCCAGAATCCTTTAAAAGAGGCTGGTGGCTGAGAACCATATAATCAAGTGTCACCAGGATTTGGGAGCCCCCCCATGGTGGCCAGGCTCTTATCACAGGCAGAATTCTGCTAGAATCCTCTTTAATATCTGCTAGCATAGATGTTAAAGAGAAGTGAACAGATCCCTTTTGAGTTAGGAACACCCCCACTGTGCGCTGTGTTCAGGGGCGGGGGGGACACAGGGTTCCTCGCAGGACTCACAGTCTCATTCCCCAGGTGACGCTTCACACCGGGCTCCCAGTCCCCGACTTCTACTCCAGCAGAGCATCAATAGCCTAAGGATGTGCCCTGGAGGTGCCAGCTGCCTGTTCTTACCTCCGCCTGAGAGCCTGAGCCACGGCGGGAGGCAGAGCTGGCAGGAGAGGGCGAAGGAGGAGAGAAAAGCTGGTCCTCCACCGTGGTCACACCCAAGCTCTGCCCCCTTTCCTTCCAAGCCCTCCTCTGCTGTCACGCCTGCGTCCACCTCCACGTCCAGCAGTTCTAACCAACAGAGGACCTAGACCGCCCACCACGTCACTTCCTTCCCACTCCTAGATTTTGCTTTTATTTAACTTAATTTTTTATGTAGGTGACTTATCTTTTGTTTCTTTTCTGATCAGGTTATTGGTGACTCACTGAAATGTCACTGCTAAGAGAAAATTCTCTTGCTAACTTTTCTCTTAAGCTTTCTGTCAAAAGCAAAATTATAGGGAGAGGTAACAAGCTGAACTTGGAGCTTGCAGCTCACCTCCTAGAATGTTCTTGCCCTGTTCCTCTCATGCAGTATCAGCTCTGCATAGCTACTCTTTGGGAGGTGGGCAGAGTGAATCTAGTATTGAGAAGTTTTACTACCCATTGAAGCACAAAACTATCAGCTACACAGGTTCACGGCAGGGTAGGATCATTAGGATAACTCTATAATTAAGAGGAGCCAGAAATCCTGGCCACTGTATAAAATGAGAAAGTCTCTAGACATAGGCAAACCAGGGGATTTAATGATTTGGTTCATTTATTTAATACAAGCTTTTAACTGAGAACCTACTATGGACCAGGCACTGTTCTAGACACTAGAACACTGTGTTCTAGACACTGTGGGGAAACAGTGGTGAACAGACAGGCATAGTCTCTTCCCTTCTGAAGCTTATATTCTAATAGGAGAACAAAGCAAAAATAAAATAATTATATATTGTTATAGGTAGTAGAAAGGAAATAGGCAAGGGTCAAAGAGGCTCATTGCAAGATCTTTCAGGTTTCCTATTATAGAATGATGCTAAAAATCCACACATTCTGGCCATAGCACCAGAAACGTACCAACTCAATGCCTTTTCAACTGCTCTACTTTAATTATGGTACCTGCTGCCACACATCACAGAGCCCTTCTTTGGTAGAAATGATGTCAGCATTCTTATTTGTTAATGCTGCAATGATACTAAGCCTTAAAAACACACGGTTAAAAAAATAGTGAGCAGAGGTCAGAGGACCCGTTCTCAGTAATGGGGGATAGTGAGTTGCAGTCCACAGCGTCCACATTCTCAGGATAAACATGCTTATCTCCATATAGACTGTGCCTGTTACAAATGACAAATCCATCCACTCTGCTGCCAATCACAGCCTGACTTTCTGGAGTAGTCCAAATGATGTTGGGAAAACATGGTCTTGTATGTCATTACTATGACAGATAGAATAATAATGCATATGACTTCTATATAGAGATCGACTCACAGAAGTTACTCTTCAGATTCTTTAGTTTGACATGAATTTTTAGGAAACGTAGAACCTGGAAAAAAGGTCTTATTAGTTGTCTAAATATTTTCCAGTGAGCCAAGACATTGACCATGAAAAAACAAGAATAACATATAGAAGAGATAGGATGGGAAAGCTAACAAATTAAAGTTTTGGCAAAAAGTAATATATGTAAATAGCTAATTAATTTACTTTTGTTCTTTATTTAGATTATTTCTATCAGTTACAATCAGTTTTTCTAGTTAGTTGTACCTAATTTATTGAATGGGTGCTATCCTGTTTATGTCTATTTTGGTTTTTCTTAGCTACAGGCAAACTCTGTTGCAGGGCAACACTAGTTTGATATTTGATTTACGCTCCAATGAGACTCGATGGCTGGGCCGCTGTAGACTCACAGTTACTCTTGTTCTTTATTAAATTCATCCTGCTAATTAGATTTCTAGTGACTTGTAACATGTAGTTTACACTGAATTGCAATTATAGATGCATACAGCTACTGTACTAAAAAATTGTCAGTTCGGGTGTGCCAATAAATGATTTTTATGAGCGAACAAAATGTCTCTGTAGAATTTTAATTCTTACCTATTTTGGGTGACAATTTGCCTCTTTGCCAGAGCAATATTTCTTCAGCAAAGTGTAACTGGAAAGTTCCCCTCGACCTTTTGCAAGCCCTGCTGTTTGCGCCATTTCCTTTGGAGCCAGGCACAGTTTCCTGCTTTTACTTATCTCCTGAACCCTAATTTGATATGAAATTTCCACGGTTTAGATGCTTTAGGGTCTGCCTAAAATAGGCAGATGCCTATTTCCACGTTTTAGATGCTTTAGGGTCAGTCTATTTTAGACTGAAACAGGATCCGTACTTTTCACCCTGCTCGTGCGTGCATGGGCACTTCCCATCTCTGAGAACAAGCGGCCTGGGGGAAGGGGGAACACAGGGCGGACACCTTCCACCTCTCACAAAGGCCAGCTCCAAAAAATTATTCCTGAAAGGATGGTGAATGGGGCTACCTTCTTGAAGAAACGGTGATGGATAGGGAGATAATTCTTTAAAGAATGGTTATTTTAAAAGGCTCTAGGACTGACTTCTGGAAAAATCCCCTTAGCTAGGCCTCAGCATAGAAATCTCTGGGGGAATCACCTGAGGCTGTGAGCTCATGAAGCCACACCTCTAACGATGCTGGTGAAATGTGCGGTGTCCTGGAGGATGGTGAAAAAACACTTCAAATAATGATTTTCTCAACACTGGTGCTAGCTACTGCTTGAAAAACCCAGGTGACCGGGCCCAAGCTTGGATTCCTCTGCCAGAACCGTTTTCCCTTCCGAGCTGAGCCATGGAATCAGTCTGAAAGAGGGTGAAAAGTGCGGATCCTGTTTCAGTCTATTTTAGACAGACCTTAAAGCATCTAAACTGTGGAGATTTCACATCAAATTAGGGTTCAGGAGATAAGTAAAACCAGGAAACAGTGCCTTGCTCCGAAGGTTTAGATGCCTATTTAGATTCCCACGCATTGATGACTGACTTAAGCCGCAAACTTGTACTAGAAAATATAGTTTCACTGACTTTTTCAAACCTAGATCCTCTAACATTTATTTGCATGGTTCCACAATACAGTTGTTTTAAAATAATTACCACATTATTGCTCTCCCTCACATTGTTATTAGCCTTTTAAAAGAAACTGTCTTTTTTATTAGAAAAAAGACCCTACCTAAAAGTATGTGATCTGGGTTTTCATCCCCCAGAGTGGAGCAACACTCAGTTGCAGCAGCTGCTGCTCTCTGTTTATTCCAGTTTCTGCACTTTCCTCTCTCCATACCCACTTCCGGGATGCTTTTTTGTTTTTTCACTTCTTCCCCTATTGGTCCCATCTCTCTTCTCCCAGTTTTCTTCTCTTCTGTTCACTACCTAATGGAACACATTACCCATTTTTTACTCTTCTTGTGGTACTGAGGTTAATGGAACTTCTGATCCCCAGCATTTCCTGATAGGATTAAGTGATTTGCAGGAAACTGTCCTATTTTCTGGAAATGAGATCCCTTTTTTTCCCCTGCATGTAATGTGGACATTACTATCGTGTCCATTAATTCAATTTGTTGAGAACAGACGGGGGCTTGCTGTTGAATCAAGATTTCTGACTATGAATCAAGGGAACTATACTAATTAGACAAACACATTCTCAGGTCATACTGCCTTATAATTTATATGAATGCACTCAAGACACCTGTATGTATTCCTCAAATATATGTGCCAGCTACTACCCCTGAGACTGGTGTTTAGGGAAGATTGGATCTGATATAATACATCACACATAACTGAGGCTACCTAAATCTTGCATTTATTCCAGTTTTTCAGATAAACACAGAATTTAGGGACTCGAATACAGATGAACAACAGAAGCACCTAATTTAATGCACAGAACATCAGTCTGGACCTTTTGATTTACTACTTCTCCACCCTGCCACATCTGTGCTAAGAAAAGTTACAGAAATATGTATGTGGGGCATTTATCTGGGGAAAAAAATGACCAACATTTTATGAAATTTCCATTACAGAATTAGAGATCATAGAATTAGTGGTGATGGTTCCATAATTTGTGAATATACTAAAAACCACTGAAATGTATATTTATCTGGCATGTGAATTATCTCTCAATACAAAAAAGAGAGAAAAAGTTTCCATTATGCCCCGAAGGATCTCCGGAGGAGGAAGCAAAGTGCATGGAGGCCACCAGGAGCCCTGTGCCAAGGCTCTGCTGCAACGTGGTCACTGTGGGGCCACATCAGACAAGACCCTGAGTCTGATGAGGACTCTGCCTATGGCCTCCCCCAATCTACCCACAACAGTCTGTTCCTATTTCCCCAAACCTGTCCAGATGCTTCTATAGCCACAACCTCTGAGATAAAGCCCAAAGCACAGGGCAGATGTCCAGGACCTGAGATCTCATCTCCTGACTCTGGCCTTCCTTTCCCCCTCCCACTGTCCCTTACTAAATGGTAGGGCTTTCTTTCATTTACTTCCTCTTCCTGTCTGCTGGGGATTACCTCCATGTTTTGTTCTTCACTCTCATAAAACAGAATTTAGCCTGCCCCTTTGCTAGGGCCATAGTGGTGGACAGAACAGAAAAACTGGCTTCCATTAAGGAAGCAATTCAAAGTAACTGTTACATACCCTTAGAATTTATATGAACACACTCAACACACTTGTATATATATATATACCTTAAGCACATGCTATTCCCGCTACTTCCCCTGAGACTGCTTGAGTTTAAGGAAGCTTGGATCTGGTATGTTATCCAAGCATGTGATCATGAATCTTGCTTATATACCTTTTTCCTCTTCCTGTCAGGTAAAAATGAACATTCGTTATGAAATATAAAGGAGTAAATATTTTGGTTGGTGTACTTGGTTTTTTCCCCCAATTTTTTTCTAGAATTCTCTAATAACTAATAAAGATTATAAATTATAAGTTCATTAATAAACATGGCTGAATGTTACATTTTAAAACCTGTTAACTTACAAACCATTATATTTTAATGTACGGCCGTGACTTTTAATGTGTATGGAAGCCGTAAAGTTAAATAAACCATCTTGATGATTAGTTGGCTATATGAGGATGGTTTTATATCTGGGTTCTCTGTTCTGTTCCACTGGTCAATGTCCCTGTTCTTGTGCCAATACAAAGCTGTTTTAATGACTATAGCCGACAAAAACATACACTGGGGGAAAGAATCCTTATTCAATAAATGGTGCTGGGAAAACTGGATAGCCACATGTAGAAGACTGAAACAAGACCCACACCTTTCACCTCTCACAAAAATCAACTCACACTGGGTAACAGACTTGAACCTTAGGAGTGAAACTATTAGAATTCTAGAGGAAAATGTTGGAAATACTCTTCTAGACATTGGCCTAGGCAAAGAATTTATGAAGAAGACCCCAAAGGCAATCACAACAGCAACAAAAATAAACAAATGGGACCTGATCAAATTAAAAAGCTTTGCACAGCCAAAGAAACTGTCAAGAGAGCAAACAGACAACCCACAGAATGGGAGAAAATTTTTGCAAGCTACACATCTGATAAAGGGCTGATTACTAGAATCTATTTAGAACTCAGGAAAATCAGCAAGAAAAAAATCAAACAACCCTATCAAAAAATGGCAAAGGACATGCAACAGAAACTTCTCAAAAGAAGACAGAATAATGGCCAACAAACATATGAAAAAATGTTCAATATCTCTAATCATCAGAGAAATGCAAATCAAAACCATAATGAAATATCACTTAACTCCAGTGAGAATGGCCTTTATCAAAAAGTCCCCAAATAATAAATGCTGGCGTGGATGCGGAGAGAGAGGAACACTCCTACACTGCTGGTGGGACTACAAACTAGTTCAACCTCTGTGGAAAGCAATATGGAGATACTTCAAAGTGATACAAGTAGATCTACCATATGATCCAGCAATTCCACTACTGAGCATCTACCCAAAAGATCAAAAGACACTTTATGAAAAAGACACCTGCACTCGAATGTTTATAGCAGCACAATTCACAACTGCAAAGCTGTGGAAACAACCAAGTGCCATCAATTATGAGTGGATTAATAAAATGTGGTATATGTATACCATGGAATACTACTCAGCTTTAAGAAACAATGGTGCTATAGCACATCTTGTATATTCCTGGATACAGCTGGAACCCATTCTACTAAGTGAAGTATCTCAAGAATGGAAAAACCAGCACCACGTGTACTCACCAGCAAATTGGTATTAACGGATCAACACCTAAGTGGACATATAGGAGTAACATTTATCGGGTGTCGGGAGGGTGGGAGGGGGAATAAGGGGCAAGTATATATAACCACGAGTAAGATGTGCAATGTTTGGGGATGGACACGCTTGAAGCTCTTACTTGAGGGGGAAGGGGAGTATGGGCAATATATGTAACCTTAACACTTGTACCCCCATAATATGCTAAAAAAAGAAAAAAGAAACCATCTTGATAAGAGAAAACTTCATGAAGGTATAAACCAGTGGCTGTCAACCCCGGGTAAAACTCTCTAATGAGGACAATATGTTCAGTATGTTTCTGTATATGTCCTGCACAACAAGAGGCATAAAGTGAGATAAAGCATATATTAATTAAAGTGCTTTGTGCAATAAAGATTAAAGACATGTTAGATGGTAAGTATTAAGTAGCCTCCGAGACAACCCTGAGAGGAAGGCAGCACAGTAACTGACAGCACAACACCTGGCCCTGACTGCCTCAGTTCCGGTCCTGGTTGTAGAGCGTGGAGGCTGTGTGTCCCAGGGCGAGTGATGAAAACTCACCCATAGTTTCTACAGCTCTAAAGGGGAGATGTCTGAGATAGTTTTGAGCATTAAAACCATATAATAAGGCCGGGCACTGTGGCTCACGCCTGTAATCCTAGCTCTTGGGAGGCCGAGGCGGGCGGATTGCTCAAGGTCAGGAGTTCAAAACCAGCCTGAGCAAGAGCGAGACCCCGTCTCTACTATAAATAGAAATTAATTGGCCAACTGATATATATATAAAAAAA